TTCCCGAGTTGAAAGTTGCGGACAAGTTGCTGCGGACACACATACACACACACAAACACACACACACAGACAACCCCGTGACAATATGCGCTGCTGTTACATAGCACAAAACGCATAATAAAACCAGTGTTTCAAAAGCGAGGCGCCCCTTTCCGAAGTTTTTTCCGGAACTTTTTACATGCGCCATATATCTGTTTGATCCGCTGATTGCGGCACATTTGTGCTGCTACTTTTTGCACACTGATTTGTTAGTATTTTGTTGCAGTTGCACAAAAACGCTTTATTAACGTAAGGAATTTGAACTATTCAAATAATACTCACTAAAGGTGGGCTATGAAAAAAGTGCGTCAAGTTCACGCACCGAACACTCCAAAGGTCAAGATGGTGCTTGTTGGAACTTTGAAGTAGGCACAGTGGTACATTGTCGGGATATGAAATTATTTCAGAGCAAACATCGACTGATAATTGTTGATTACGGTCTAGCACGTCGCTTCCGTCATCCGAATGGTCGCTTACGACCATTAAGGCGAGGATGCGGATTTCGTGGTACCACACTGTATGCATCCCTGCGGGCACACGACGGAAAAGACCTTGGTAAATGACTGATGTCCCTCTCGAAAGTGTGCTCGCATGTTTCAGTTGCAGAATTTTCGATTCCTTACCATTTTCCACTGCTTGCTTTTTTCGTTCACTGACGTACCGAGCTTCTGAAAAAGACAGAAAAGTTTGCCAAGATTTAGCTTCTCTCAGACAAAATAAAAAGCCCTTTTCAAAAAACAGTCCCTTTCCTATTTTCTCCTCCTTTCCAATGCGCATTATGCAGCTGAGAGCAAGGGAACAGTTCATTTTTCTGGCCGATTAGCTTCGTATTGTAATGATTTGCCAGGACCGGCTGATGACCTCATCAGTTTGTTCTATTCGGCCATAGAAATGATTCTTGGTGGCGTACCTTGGAAAAGAGCAAGAAGAAGCGAAGAAGTAAAAAGTGCCAAAGAAGCTATCGTAAGAGTATTACTGTCATTATTTTTTGATAATGCTTTTATTGCACAAATTTTCTAACCTCCAGACAGCCGATAACACAGAACATCTGCAGTGGTGCTCTGGAGCAAGAAAACGACTACACATACGATTCCCCTACGGCCACTAAGACAAGAAATGTTGCACATAGCGCTAGGGTAAGTGGATACGGACAGGAAGCATATAGCCGAGTAGAAGTAGGCTAGTGTAGTTGCGCTCGACTTAAAACTGCATCTTGGTAGCATCAATAGTTGGGCACTGACAGTTCAGAAGGTGGATCTTCCACTGCCAGCGTTTTTTTTTTTTTTTGAATAGTCAGATTTTCTGCGGACAAAAATGCCGGCCAGCATAGCA